AACACCTTTACAAATTAAATTAAACCATATCACAGACACTTAGAGTTTAATTTAAAACAATAAGCTTGAAATTTCGCACTTCAGCAAATATTCACACGGGCGATATTTTTAAACCGTTTTTTTTTATTAGTCAACCTTGATTCGAATTTAAACTTTATATCTTACGAAATAAAGACCGTATTTATGTATGCACTTCTTTTTTATTTTGCGGAAGCAAATATACTGTGGTTAAGCGATATGAAACCTTAAATTTTAGTGGAATAACGTAGATTTTTGTTCAAAAGTTAGCGTAGTAATTGATTTCATTTATTGTATGGGATCCGTAGCATTTAAATTTTATCGATTTTATTAGTTGCATGCAAAATTGGTAAATCGACATGAGGCGTTTCGAAATTGGTACATTTATATTGATATAAAAATAAAAATGCATGGAAGTCATTAAAAATGGATTCTTTTAGCAAATATCTATATATCTTACCTGTATGATGGTCTTTAAGGCATCGCCCGAGATACTAGATTCGATTTCGATTGTTCCGTTTTCATTAAATACGGTAGACAACTAGTTTTTATTTTAATGTCCGTCTGGTAGATTATTTAAAAATATTAGACACGTATTTTTTATTTTCTTACGGAAACGAATAGTTTCGAAGATATATTGACTTGATATATCGCATGACGTCACTTTTGAGTATGATTTAAATTCGAAAATGACATAGCTACACTCCTAAACTTTGATTCGTTTTATCTAAGTATTGTTTTCTTATACGACAAAATAAAAATAAATACGTGTCTAATATTTTTTCATTACCTAAATGACGGACTAATTACATTTTTAATTTTCATACCCTGTCATCATCCCTATTCTCAATGATAGATTAAGTTTATAATTGATAAAATTGCTAATAGGCTTGCCGTAAAGTATCTACAGTTGAAATAATAAATGAGGCATCATCTCATGGTTTAAGGTATAATTACGATAGCCACATAATATACAAATGTATTATTAAAATTTAAGACCTTGGACCAAGATCCCTAGAGCTACCAAAAACCCCGTAACCTTTTTGTGCATCACCGAAAGGGTTTTCCGACACCCTCGCGGTACCCTAAAAAGGGTTAGACAAACAAAAAAACGATCTTAATTGTCTTAAGTGGTCTAAATAAAAAAAGGGATTGGATTCTTTTGAATTTTCGTTCAGTTAGCCCTTTGTTTCCCACAAGTGGGCCATTGTTGTTGTCCACAATGAATTTATAGAATACTCAGCAATAAAAAGTTGGGCTTAAATTTTAGAGGTATATTTAATTTTTTTTATAATTTCGTAGGTGTAGGTAGGTAGGTAGGTAACCTACTCTTTTTTTTCTTTTTTTATAAAAACTATTTTTTTATAAAAAAAAAATGAAAACTCGAATTAATTTCGAATTTTTCATTTTGTTATTCTTATGACACGTTTTTCAATAATTTGTTTTGTTATAAGAAAATCGATCATCTACTTCTTAAAAATGATAAAGATTGCATGAATAAGGATTAGCTTGGAATAAAACCTAGCAAACATTGGTTAGTTAGCCACCTAAATCATAAGTCTATGTCACCCCTGTCTATATTTACGAGGAATAAAAAAAATCATCAATAGGCTATAAGTCAGGCCACTGCTGATCAAAGGCCTATTCGCACACAGTGGTTTGAGCAAAAACATGGCTTTCTCGATGCTGGTTAGCTTGATTGAATAAAACGCATGATGTCATGATGTAAAAATATTATAC